TTTTCGCAGCCGTTGTCGCAGCCATTATCGATACGCAACTGCTGCCTTCGTCGCAGTCATTTTCACAGCCGTAATTTTTGCTCAGTCGTTGTCTGTGTCACAACCGCTGCCTGTGCCGCAGTTGTATTCGCAGCCTTTGTCGGCGTCTCGGTCATTGTCGCAATCGTTGCCCGCATCGCAGTCGCTGTTGCAGCAGTTGTCTGCGTCACAATCCTTGCCTGTGTCTCGGTCGGTGTCACATCTGTTGCCGGTGTCGCTTTCATTGTCATCACCACAGTCGATGTCAAAGCCGTTGTCTATGTCGTTGTCTAAGCCTCTACTGTTTTCTATGCTGCCGACATTGCCTGCACCACCTTCCATGGCAGCAGAGTATGAGAAGCCGGCCGTTGATAAGCAGTATCATGCAGCATGAGCACCAAGCAAGACGCCTGCACTCGGTTAGCAATCCTGACCGGTGATAATGTATTAGGCGAATTTCCAAAATGTCATTTCCAATGCATACTAAGGGCAGAAGGAGAGTAGTATTTCTAAAAGTATGTCAAAATGTTCGAAATTATTTATGTTTAGCATCCCCCCACCTCACAACAGAGCAACCGAGTTTTTGCTGGGAGTGCCGATTCGAGCAACTGGTATGATGGCTCTGCTTGGAGCCGCTAGATGGCTCGCAGCTGAGCCAGCAAATGACTCCGCTTGGAGCAGGAGAATGACTCTGCATGGAGCCGGCAAATGACTTCGCATGGAGCCGGCGAATGACTCCGTACGGTGCCGGCAAATGACTCTGCATGGCGCCGGCGAATGAATCCGCATGGAGCCGGCAAATGACTCCGCATGGAGCCGGCGATTGACTCTGCATGGAGCCGGCGAATGACTCTGCATCTAGCCGGCGAATGACTCCGTATGGAGCCGGCGAATGACTCCGCATGGAGCCGCCAAATTACTCCGCATGGAGCCGCCAATTACTCTGCAATGAGCCGCCGAATGACTCCGCATGGAGCCGTCAATGCCTCCGCATGGAGCCGCCAATGACTCTGAGTAGAGCTGCCAAATGCTAAATATATAGAGATGCATAACCAGTTGAGAGCATATTATATTCTCATGGACTATACAGATACCGTCATGTGTGCGCCAGAAACATGAGATGAGCAAGTGGGTGGGAGGGTGGGAAGGAAACCGTTTGGGAACACATGTTCCGCAAGTTGCACGCTCGAAAGTCCGAACAGCAATGACATGCAAGAGACATTGTAGGGCGTGTGCCCACGTGACATGCGCATGCGTGCAGGTTGGGCCAGCTCGCTGGGCTGGCTGCTAACTCGCGTTAGCATGCTAACGCTCATCGCTCAGAAAATGTACGTGTTTAGCACCCCCCCCCCCCCCCAAAAAACACAGGCGTAGGGCGCGTTCAGACTGGTGTAAAAAGCAAGCGGAATGTGAAAGTTGTCACGGTGAATCGGTTCCCGCCAGCACAAACACGGAAAAGGTTTCCCACCACCAATGTTTCCCACCACTGTGCAGCCTTGTGGGATGCAGATTGCAGCGGAACACGGCGGGAGCACTTTTGATTATTTTGAGTTTTGACTTCTAGACTGCCAACTTCTTCCATAATGCCGAATGTTCGGCTCAGCAATGGAGAGGGAGCGCATGGAGCTGTACGTGGTGATTTTTGAGGGCTCTGCAGGGAAACCGTTGACTGCAAACGAGAGGCATACTCTGATCGCTGAGAGGATGAATGCCACCCAAGCAGCACACACTCTGGACATCGTGTTCTTTCCGTAGGCAAGCACAAGCAAAAGCACGAGAGCTTTCCTGCGGAGGTATTACTTTGGCCGTATTTCAGCATGGTTGAGTGGAAAAATTCAAAAAGGTTTATTTCAAGAAAACCCCAAAAGGAAGACGGGGGGGGGGGGGGGGGGCATGTCCTCAGCGCTCGAAGAGACGTTCTACTATCTGCCGGTATAGCTCTTGCCAATTGAGGATGTAGCCGGCTGCTTTGCCAGCGCTTGTAAATTGGCTATTTTCAAGCAATTATGTGTTGCGCCAGGGGGTGATTGCCCTCGTCTTCTGAGATCCTGGCTTGGCTAAGCGGTACTGCTCCAGACATTCTTCTAAGGCGAGGCAATGTTGGCTTGATGTAGGAAGTCCAGTTCCGGTCGCTGAAAAGCGAAAAATGCAGTCACAGCTCACCTGCACAAAGTGAATGGGCGCCTCGTGGCTGCAGTTCGAGATGCAGTTCGAGGCCGAAGTATCTTCTCCCGCGGCCTTTTCAGCCTTGTCGATGCTATTTTTAGGGAGCTAAGGTCATTACCTTCACAATGGTGCCACACATGCCATGCTTCCAAAAATAATGCCTCTGAGCTTGGCACGGATGCACTTGGAAGTACTAATTTTTGACCAGATCCGTACTCGGCCCCGTGAGGAACACCCGATTTTCGTTTTCAGCGGCCTCGAATTAGCCTAACCCAAGAGGATTCTAGAACATTGAGGCTCGCTCCTTATCGCGGTAGAAGGAAGATGATCACAGAAACCAGCCCACGGCGATTTCCTGGTGGTAGACGAAAAAAATCGAGTGAACTGCGCGCACACTGTAAAAGCAGTGACGGTGAAAACGTGTGACTTATGCAAGCAGGCGCGCACGGCCTGCGTGCACACTGCATGCATGCACACATCCTGTATCGCAATGTATGCACCAGATAGTGCAGTGCTGGACGGAAACCACACGGCTCACATACATACTTGCATTTACTTCCGTGACTATTTTTCCCCCGTTTTCCGATCTTCAATCGAGTATAACTCTAGATTGCCTTGGAATTTTGGGTTCAAATTTTCCCAGGTTGTTTCTCACATCTTCCAGGTGTAGAAAACTAGCGTTTTATGCGAAACTCGCGAATTTGGTTTTTCAATTGAAGTCCCTACTTGATGGAGTATTGTTCGTAGCTTGTTCGTATACGCTGTGGTGTGGCTCGTTTGTAGACCCATAAATAATGTGATATTTAGGCCATTTCGAGTGGTATGCAAGGTTCAAGATTCCCTTCAGAAACTTTTTCAAGGGCTTTGCAATCGATGCACACCCCAAAGGGAACATACTTGCAACTTTTGAGCGAAATCGGAGAGATCCACTTGCACACATACTTTGGTATTCTCAAACATGCAAAAAGGGGAAGTATACCCTAAAGTCAAATTTTCACCAATTGTAGTCTTCGGGGTGCTGAGTCGAATGGTCTTTGTCCGAGAAAGCTGAGACGCTCCCTTCCTCCTTTATTCCCAATCGAACTCGCACACTTCCACCGAAACAGGGTGACTGCGCCCTACTAGATAGGCATTAGTATGGAAAAAGTCTCTAAAAACGCCGTTTCCTTCTTATAAAAGGGAGGATGACCGCGATTGGTCCGTATGTTGTGGTTTTTTGGCAGCTGAGTCGACTGGTTTTGGTCCGAAAAGGCTGCGATGCAGCGTTCGGCCCTTATTCCCAATCGAACACAGTTGAGTAAGCGGTCCCGTGCTCATGCGTACACCAGTTGCCTGGTCACCGTGCCTGCACTGGCTGCAGGCTACAATTTTCACATCAAGGTTCAACTCAAAGGTTCAAAGCAGAGAGTCGTAAGAGGCTTTTACGACTCCCTGGTTCAAAGGTTCAACTCGAGTGACATAAACGGGCCCAAATGTAAATGAGCACGTGACCGCTTACTCAACCGTGTTCGATTGGGAATAAGGGCCGAACGCTGCATCGCAGCCTTTTCGAACCAAAACCAGTCGACTCAGCCGCCAAAAAACCACAACATACGGACCAATCGCGGTCATCCTCCCTTTTATAAGAAGGAAACGGCGTTTTTAGTGACTTTTTCCATACTAATGCCTATCTAGTAGGGCGCAGTCACTTTGTTTCGGCGGAAGTGCGCGAGTTCGATTGGGAATAAAGGAGGAAGGGAGCGTCTCAGCTTCCTCGGACAAAGACCATTCGACTCAGCACCCCGAAGACTACAACTAGTGAAAAATTGATTTTAGGGTATACTTCCCCTTTAAGTTTTTTTGGACCTTGGCGGATCCAAAGGATCCACTCAATCGATCAGGATCCGGATCCAACCAAACGAACATGCCCTAAGCGAGTTCCACGTTACGTCCAACCTCATACCTGCGCTGGGAAGCTGGCCTCTCCGCGACATCTAGCCAGGAATTTCTAATCCAACACTACTCCCATCGCTGCAGAGAAAACTATACTGAGGAACGGTTTCAAATTCAAAAAAATGCGTGCAAAACCTCAGTCAGTTTGGCATCAACTGGCGCACCAGAAAATGTTGGGGTTGGAAGGAGAATCTTGTCATTTGGAGTGACAAGTGATCACCGCTGCTTTTCCCTGTACACTTTGTTCTGCAGCGTAAGGAGCAGTTTTGGAGTAGAAATTGCTGACTAGACCAGCTTTCCAGAGCAGGTGTGAGTTTGTACGTATGTCAGCATGGTAGAGTGGAACAATACAAAAAATAGACTTCAAGAAAAGCCAAACAGGATGATCGGGGACATTTCCTCAGTACTAGAAAAGGTGTTCTTCTATCTGCCGATATATAGTTCGTGCGAATTGCAGACGTAGCTTGCTGTTTTATCATCGCTTGTATATCGGCTGTTTTCGACATTATTACTTGTTATGTCAGGGGTGCTGGCTCTAGTCTTCTTTGATGCTGGCGTGGCCAAGCGATGCTACCTCCCGGACCCCTTCTAAGGTGAGGAGGCAATGTTAGCTTGATTTCGTTTTGTTGATAGTTTATTTTGTGTACGCGCCTGTGGTGTGGTTTGGTTCTACACACATACACATACATTATGGGATTTTAGGTACGCTATTTTTCAGGGTACGCCATTTTCAAGGGATTTTCACAGTCGCTTAACACCTGAAAAGGAAACTTAACTGCAACATTAGAGCGAAAGAGGAGAGATCAACTTGCACACTTGTTTTGGTTTTCTCAGACATGCAGTTTCGTAATAGTTGCACCTTCTGTGTTTAAAGTACTGCTTACCCAAGCAAAGTCCTGAACAGGCCATACCACTCCTTTGCCCTGTCAGCAAAACATCGCACAAATACAAAAGAACGTACTTTGATATAACGTTATGTAGAACCAAAGCTTGCACACATACATACGTACACCTGACCACACACTACACACACTCATGCATGCAGACACAAATATCCCAGGCCCGTCGCATCGACTTTAGAGGTGGGGGCGGCCATGGAAGGGGGGGGGGGGGGAGATGCGGCCTCCCCGGCAAAAAAAAATCAACAATTGAAGCCTATTGCAAGAATTTCCGGGCATTTGGTGCCATTTCAGTGGAACTATAATGAACGACCTTTTTGATTCGGCAACAAACCAAGAAGATGCTACGATCGGGGACAATAATTTCTTTTTTATCCTCCCCGGGAAAATATTTCAAAAATTGAAGCCAATTGCAAGCATTTTCAGGCATTTGGTGCCATTTCAGTGTAACTGCAATGAATGACTTTTTGATTCTGCAACAAACCACGATAGGGGACAGGGATTCTTCATTATTTGCCACGGTTGCACTGAGCTGCGGATATTGCGCTTTGTTGCACATAGCCAGCAATCGCATGTCATCACGAACATTCAAAATCAACATAATTTTGCGAATCGACCTTTTTTCAGCATCACTTTTCAAAGAGGACAAAGCAAAGTCGGCCGAAAGAAGCCCAGAGGAAGAAAATCACCCTCTCCACTTTGCCATCACGATACTGACATAGATACGAGACGAAACAATTAAAAAATCCAGAAGAAAACTGATCGGCCATCATCGCGCTGACTTTGGTCTGAGAATTTTTATCACGATCAAAAATGTACAAGGAGCACTCAAAATAAGCTACAGATGTACCTTTATCACTCTCTACTCCTTTTTCAAGACACAAAAGTCGACTCTCCACTTTCAAACCAGGAACCAGACATACCAGTGGTCCTTTTCAGCTGCTCCACGAGCGCAGGAAATGTTTACCAAAGGGCGCAGAGCAGCATCTATTCCAGAAAAAGAGCTAAAATACGAGTGAGACTGCATGCCTAAGTACATGCGTGAGTACATGCAGAAAATAGTCAATTTCAGCGTTTCTGCTCCAAACGGCAACTTGCTTCGACTAGCTACAAAGATTACACCAAAGGATCAAACAACCGTTTTCTTCCTTTTCTTGACAGGTGGGATCCTTGTGCTTGGCCCAGCACGCCAAAAATCACACCTCGGAGGAGTACAAAAATTACAACTCCCAGATGTCCTCGATTGCTGGCCATGAGTGTGCTCCGAGAAAAATACTGGCGAAAAAGTGGGGTGGCTGTGACGGCCTTGTCACATCCATCCATGCACAGGCATGCATACACAGAATCAATTCTGCTCCATTCATTTCGCAACCGGAATCGGATCTGCACTTAACAAACGCAGTCGCGTGCATCAAACAAACGCACCCGAACCAAAACACGGCGGAAGGACTTTGGAATGTTGTCGGAATGACACCAAACAAACGCAACCTCATCTTCTCTACAGAAAAATGGAACAGATTACCTAGAGACGTCCGCTCCAGCACAACGCTGGACCTTCAAAGCTGCAGTGGTACCCCTTACACTATTGGTCCCAGAGTGTGCATGTTGTATTCCTTGTTCAATACCGGCAACAGTAGCTCATGTCATGTTTGACAATGGATCAATACTATTGATCTCCAGCTGACTATCAAATTTTTTTCTCTTTTTTATTCCCACTTCACTACCTTCTGATTGGAAAGAAATGCCCGTTGGGATTTGCAAAATACAACAAAGTCAAAAAAAGAATTAGCCTGGTATACACCACACGGCTGGTTGACTTGGCTTTTCTGGCCAGTGAATGCTATTTCTCTCTCTCTCTCTCTCTCTCTCTCTCTCTCTCTCTCTCTCTCTCTCTCTCTCTCTCTCTCTCTCTCTCTCTCTCCCTCCCTCTCTCTCTCGCACACACACACACGCACAGATCAACGGACGCGCACACGCACACCACCCCCACCCCCCCCCACATACACACATCTATATGTTGCGAAATACGATTCAATTATTATTTACGCACATTGTCGTATATGGTTCTTGTCTTGTAGAATCCAGTGTCTGACGTCATGGTCTAGTCTATATGTGAGTATAGTAGGATGTGTGCCGTGTATTGTATGAGGTGCATGCAAGAGTGTGTATAGTCAGAGACTGACTTGCATTCGTAGTGCTAGCTTTGTCAGAGAGCGAGGGTGATCAGTGGTGCGTCCGTGGTCTGGTTGTCTTGGTCTGGGTCATGTGGTCTGTACGTATTCGTCCCTGATTGGTCTTCGCATCATATCAGTGTGTACCCCCTTGAAGTTGAAGTACTCGACATGACTCCCAACCAGGGTACAAGCAACCCGGTGTTCTTCTTCCAAAACGGGTCCAAATACCCCCCCCCCCCCGCAACGGGTCACTGACCCCCGCTTGACCCGGCTCTGGAGCAGACACTACCGCGGACTATGGATGGAGTGCATGGAACATACAGTATACAGCACACAAGGCTGACAGCAGAGAGCCAGACCAGAACTAACAATAACCATTACAAGATCACGCATATAGCGCACAGCAATCAAAAGCAAAGCGCATTCATACATGCCATTCCTACCTGATGGTGGAGCTTGTCAACCAGATCCACATTCTTTGAATTCGCTGCCGACTATATCTTTGCTATTGTCGCTCTGTCTATCCTCTCACCTTTCTTCAACCCTCAAGTCTTCTGTAGAACTTCTTTCCAGTCGGTCTCTCTGCTCTTCTCTCTACGCTTCATCTCAACAACGTTTCTCTTCTCCATTTCTTCGTTCCTGTACTTCTCTAAACTTCTCTACTACCTGTATCTTTCATTAGTTAGTTCTCTTCGTTTGAATGATTTTCTTCAACATGATCATGATCATGACTTATGACTATTGTAGTCGACTGTGTTTTTGCACTTTGAGCTTGAGCTTGATTTTCTTTCATGTCTTTTTTGCCGAATGTACAGTGCGCTAGTGCGCTGTCGACATGCCTATCATCCTGGTCATGTCGTGCACTACACACATGCACTCAGTCTGTCTGTCTACCATGGTCTACGTCTACAATCTAGTCGGTGCATGTGCGCACGTCACGTGCGCTGTGTGTGAATAATGCATGCAGCGCAGCTACTGTTGTAGACATGGAAATCCGGTCGCACGTCTAGCGGCCCCAGGGTGCTGGCCATGCAGCCGTGGACAAGCTGCACCCACATGCGCTGCATGCAGCGCTAGCGCGATCGTCGCATCGGATCAACAAGTGCACTGCACGCAGCGTTCTGTACGCGCGCTGAGGTCGCCGGCCGACTGGATTTCCATGTCCGCTACAGTACATGACATACAATCATGTACATTACATACATACATGTGATTGTAGTCTTCACACTTGCCACGTGATCGTTGCCACGGTTTGAGCCAATCAGACTTCAGAGCGCTCACAGGCAGGGCATGAACCTCTGATCATGCCCTGCCATTCAGGCCCTTGGGCTTGAAAAGTTGAATGGCACCGTAGCCTAGGCGTAGGAGAACATGAATGATCACGTGATGAGTATACTCGCATGTGGAGAGACTTACCTGATCGAGGTGGAACAACTCAAGAGAGAAAGAAAAAGCCTGATATCCGGTCCATGTATCCATGCGGTGGCATTTCAGGCCCTTGACCAATCAGCACGTCCCGAGAGCGTGTGGAGGTGAAACTGAACACGCCGCCATGAAGGTATAAAAGGAAGAAACCTCTAGGGGTGGTGGTCGGGGACGTGGAGGATTCAGCTTCTGAGTTTCAGGTTGGTACGTTGGTACGAGGGAAGGCCGCTCGAGGGCCTGAATCAACAAAGCCCGAGAGCGTACCAACCTGAAACTCAGAAGCTGAATCCTCCACGTCCCCTGAAACTTCACCTTGCTTGAGATGAAACTTTACCTTGCTTGAGATGAAACTTTACCTTGCTTGAGTTGAAACTTTACCTTGCTTGACATGAAACTTCAGAACGAAACTTCACAACGAAACTTCACAACGAAACTTCAGCCGGAGCGCACGGAGGTGGAACTTCAGCTTCTGAGTTTCAGGTTGGTACGCTCGAGGGCTTTGTTGATTCAGGCCCTCGAGCGGTCCGCGGCCTTCGGCCTTGGGCCGCTCTCGGGCCTGAATCAACAAAGCCCTCGAGGTGAAGTTTCAGGGGACGTGGAGGATTCAGCTTCTGAGTTTCAGGTTGGTACGTTGGTACGAGGGAAGGCCGCTCGAGGGCCTGAATCAACAAAGCCCGAGAGCGTACCAACCTGAAACTCAGAAGCTGAATCCTCCACGTCCCCTGAAACTTCACCTTGCTTGAGATGAAACTTTACCTTGCTTGAGATGAAACTTTACCTTGCTTGAGTTGAAACTTTACCTTGCTTGACATGAAACTTCAGAACGAAACTTCACAACGAAACTTCACAACGAAACTTCAGCCGGAGCGCACGGAGGTGGAACTTCAGCTTCTGAGTTTCAGGTTGGTACGCTCGAGGGCTTTGTTGATTCAGGCCCTCGAGCGGTCCGCGGCCTTCGGCCTTGGGCCGCTCTCGGGCCTGAATCAACAAAGCCCTCGAGCGTACCAACCTGAAACTCAGAAGCTGAATCCTCCACGTCCCCTGAAACTTCACCTTGCTTGAGATGAAACTTTACCTTGCTTGAGATGAAACTTTACCTTGCTTGAGTTGAAACTTCACCTTGCTTGACATGAAACTTCAGAACGAAACTTCACAACGAAACTTCACAACGAAACTTCAGCCGGAGCGCACGGAGGTGGAACTTCAGCTTGTGAGTTTCTGCCATTGTTGTGCAACGAGTGCCATAAAGGACTTGAGAACTTGGGCAGGCAGGCACTCGGTGTTTCTAGTTGATGTATTTCAAGTTCGATTTATGCAGATTAGTGCAGTACAGTGGCTTTGTTTGCGCTGCTAGGTGCGTTGTAGGTGCACTTGCACGTGCACGTTCTGCTGAGGAGAGCGTTCAGACGTTCTGGCTTTCACTTG